AGAGCTGGAGGCAGCTCTGCAGGTGGAGTCTCACCTGAGGGGGCAGAGGGGCAGAATCCCCCCCTCCCCTGTTGCCCACGCTGTGTGATCAGCCCAGCACATGGTAATTTGCAGGTGCCATCACACCCAGCCAGGTTGTGTCCATCTTCCTGGATTCCTTGCCCTGTCCCACAGCAGGAGCCCTCCTTGCCATGCAGGTGAAGGACACAACTCCTGCTCTTCCCAGCTGATTGCTGCCCACATCCCTCTGGATCTCCTGTCCCACCTGAAGCAGGAGGTTGCTGTTCCCAGCTGGTGGTTTGGGACATCTGCAAAAACAGGAGCCCCCTCCTGGATGTGCAGTGGAGGAGCAGGAAGCTGCTCTCCCCATCCCAGATCAGTGTGGGCACAGAGGTCCCAAAGAAGCAACCACAGGCATCTAGAGGGGAAGGAATAGTTGAGGTGGGTGCCAGTGCCAGGCCTGCTGGTGCCTTTGGCTGTTGGAGCCTTTCCCCTGTGCTGGAGGACCCTCCCTCCCCGGCACCCAGAGCAGGCCTGGGTCACAGCTCTTGCCTGGAGTGCTCGCCCAGCGTTGCCAGATGTGCAGAGCCATCCCCTGAACGAGTGTGGGCTGCTTGACCCATCCTGGGTCCCTGTAATTGCACTCAAAGTTTGCTGCAATGTTTGTTGGTGCGTGTTCATTCTTGGCTGCAGTGAATTCCATCAGAAAAGTCACTCTGCTAATTAACAGAAAGGATTTGGCTGCCAGGAGGGTTTGCAGGATAACTGGGGGTATTGTGGAAATTCAGGTATAACTCCCAGTGGCTGGCTCCAAAAATGGCCATGATATCAGGGCTTGGATCAGTGACCTTACTCGTTTTGCTCTACATCTGGCACAAAGCAGGATGTCAATGAGGTTTTCTTCCTGTTAATTGGAAATTTCTTCTTTGTGGAGAGGAGGGATGAGGGAGAGAGAGACAGAGGGGAATGTGCTTTGGAAAAAAAGGTTTTATTTGTGCCTTTCACATAGGCTCTGTCTAAACTTGGAGGTCACAGTCCTCCTCCTTCCCCGCAGTGCCTCCTTGATCTGGAATCATCTCCTGATGGGTGTGGGTTCGTGGCTTCCTTGAATGGAAAAGATAACCTTGATTCCTTTTTCTAGGGATTGTAACAAATCCTTTTTTCTTGCACTGACTCTTATACTATCAAAGAATCCCAGGATGGTTTGAGTGGGAAGGGACCATAAAGTCCATCCAATTCCACCTCCTGCCATGGGCAGGGACACCTGCCACTAGCCCGTGTTGCTCCAAGCCCTGTCCAGCCTGGCCTTGAACACTTCCAGGGATGGGGCAGCCACAGCTCCTGTGGGCAATCTGTGCCAGGGCCTCACCACCCTCACAGCCAAAAATTCCTTTCCATATCCCATCTAAACCCACCCTCTGGCAGTGGGAAGCCATTCCCCCTTGTCCTGTCCCTCCAGGCCCTTGTCCCAAGTCCCTCTCCAGCTCTCCTGGAGCCCCTTTAGGCACTGGAAGGGGCTCTAAGGTCTCCCTGGAGCCTTCTCCAGGTGAACACCCCCAGCTCTCCCAGCCTGGCTCCAGAGCAGAGGGGCTCCAGCCCCGGGAGTGTCTTTGCAGGGCAGGGAGCAGCCACAGCTGGGCCGGGGAACTTCAGAGCAGGACATGTGCCCCGAGGTGGCAGCAGGGACAGGGACAGGGTGAAGCTGTCCCGGGGGCAGCGCAGCCTGCTGGCAAAGCCTTGAGCAGAACCCAAGAGCCCTGCGGCCTCTTCCCGTGCCCAGGGCCGCACGCTTTCCCCCTGCGATAAAGCCAAGGTGTATTTCAGCCGTGCCTCGTCCTTTCTGAGCCGCTCCACGGCTTCTCCGAAGCGGATTGCTGCGGTAGGTGTAAAGAAATTAAGGGATTGTCAGTGACAACAGGTTTCGGAGCGCACCGGGTGCCGACACCGCGCGGTCTGCTCTCACCTGTCCAGGGCTGCTCCCACCTTCCTCGTGCTTCTCCCACCCTCACGGGTTGCACCCTGTCCCCTCCCAGCCTGCTCCCCCCTACAAGGCTGCTCCCGTCTTCCCGGGCTGCTCCTGCCCTCCCAGGAATGCTCCCACCTTCCCGAGGCTGCTCTCCCACTCTCCAAGGCTGCTCCCGCCCTCCCGGGGCTATTCTCACTTTCCCGGGACTTCTCCCACTGTCCCGGAGTTGCTCCCGCCCTCTCGAGCTGTTCCCACCCTGCCAGGTCACTCCCACCTTCCCGGGCTGCTTCCATCTTCCGCCACTGCTCCCGCCCTACCAGGGCTGTTCTCACTTTCCCGGGGCTTCTGCCACTGTCCCGGGGCTGCTCCCGCCCTGACAGGTTACTCCCACCCTCCCGGGTCACTCCCACATTCATAGAATCATAGAATCATAGAATCATAGAATCAGACGGGTTGGAAAGGACCTCTGAGATCATCAAGTCCAACCCTTGATCCACTACCACCATAGTTGCTAGACCATGGCACTAAGTGCCACGTCCAGCCTCAGGCCCTGGCACAGATTTCCCCAGAGAAGCTGTGACTGCCCCTGGATCCCTGGAAGTGTCCAAGGCCAGGCTGGATGGGGCTTGGAGCAACCTGGGATAGTGGAAGGTGTCCCTGCCCATGGCAGAGGGTTGGAATGAAACGAGCTTTACGGCCCCTTCCTTAGAATTGTATGATTCTATGGAAAAAGAGCCTGCAGGACCAGAAGGAGCAGTCATTGCATGTTCCCAGGTATTTTATGCAACCCTGTGGTCTAACGTATCTTACACAAACTTGGATGGTCCAAGATGGGTTGCACAAAGATCGGGGGGGTTGTGGTGAAAGCAGTCTCAAAGTGGACCTTCATTTCTTGTTGGAAGAAACCGACATTCAGGACAAATTTTGACCAGAAAAGGCTTTTTTTCATTGGCCCATGACTGTGCTGTCACATCCCCAACCCTTTATATGCAAGTTTGGGGCTGGTGCATCCCGTGGAGAACAGACAGAGAGCAACATTGATCCTCCAGCTCCTGCACTGGTAACTCTGCCTGGTTCTGGAGAGGCACCCTCACCTCTTCATCTTTATACACTTCTTTTCTTTTTGTTAATCTCAAGTCTAAGTCTCTGCTTTGATTAATCCCTTCCTTCTTATTACTCCGGTGAATGCATCTGATCTCTATGTGTTCTACAGGACCATGGGTTGGTTGGTCGCTTGCAGGGCTGGCAGGAGGACACTGGGTTGCTGATTTCTAAGAGAAAAGGAGATATGGAAACCTTCCCTTGAGGCATCAGAGACAGAAATATGTAGTTTCCTACAGAAGCAGTCACCCAGCCAGCACAGCACTTGAGTGCTGCCTTTTGAGCCACAAATCTTGCCAGAATGCCAGTAACATTTTGAGTGAGTTGCCACCTTAGTTGATGTTGAAGAGATGCAAATGTCTTTTTTTAGAGTTTCCTAGGGATTATAATTGGCTGGGTCTCTGAACATTTTGAACTAGAGTAGGTTGAAGGGGAATAATTTGTGGGTCTATGTGGGTACCAAAGTAACCTGCCTGGTGTTGAACAGATCCGGGGTATCATTTTTTCAGTGCAAGAAAACCAATATTTTATAAACAACAAAACCAAAGAACAACACCAAAACGTCATAAAATCCTAGAATACTTTAGTTTCAAAGGTAGTCCAGAAGTTTCTAGTCTGAATCCATGTTCAAAATGGTGCTAATTAGGGCAGGTTGTTTAGAGATGCATTCACTGAAACTGAATATCTCCAAGGATGCAGATTTCACTCTGTTCTTTTTCCAAACTCAGTGTAATTTAGGAGATTTTGGCTTTAGTCTCTCAGGGTATGTTTTAATCATTTCCTCATCTCCCAGTCAGGAGGGGACCCTCCATTCAGTATCTTTTGATCTTGTGCTCTCTGCTCATTACAGGTAAGGAATTCACATCCCAGCTGTGGCCATGAGGATCCTTTACCAGCTCCTGGTTGTCCTCTTCCTGATGCTCCAAGGGGCTGCAGGTAAGGAGTGAGGTGGTTAGAGAGAATGCTTCCCCTTTTACTCATATTCATAGTAAATGACTCTTCTCTTTCTGCTGGGCAGGTCAGCCCTTCATTCGACGTGATCCTTGTGAGGCCCAAAATGGACACTGCACCCCAGGGATATGTCGTCGTCCATACTACTGGATCGGAACATGTCGGAATGGATTTTCTTGCTGCAGAAGGTATGTGGAAGCGCAGGGATCACTGTGGGAATGACTGATATCCTCCTTGTCTTTTCTCCAGAGCAGCACTTTAGAGGCACAGCTCCTGCCACCATCCTGTCTCACTTCTCCAATGCCAAACCTGCTGCACAGAGCGTCCTCAGGGGGAATTCACATCCCATGGCAGCCTCTGCTGTGGTGCCATGGGATGGGGAGAACAATAGAAAACCTATGAGTAGGTAACCTGAGACTCTTCTTCACCATGCAGGGGGTGGTGAAGCTGAATACTCCCTAGATTCCCCTTGGAAATCCTTTCTGCTTCTATCCAATGGCTTCTGAAACACCCTGACCCATCGCTCCTGGTGACAGCAGTTCCTGCTGCGATGAAAGTCTGTGACGATCTTCCCTTGAAGTGAAGCAAACATCAGCACAAATGTGAACCAGGCAACACTGTGGAAACCGCTTCTTTCCCCTCCTTTAATAAAATCAGTTCTGGTGGCATTTGTGTGGTTGAACCTCAGGTGTTTTTTGTAGGGAAGGAGGGGATAGTTCATAGAACTGCTCCCGTCATGGGCAGTAACACACAGGTGGGCTGGTGGCTTTTACAGCCAGACAATTCATCCTGCTGCACCATCAGGGAAAAGGTAGGTCATCCCATCCCTGCTTCCCAATGGCCACATTCCTGGAACAATCCTGTAGTGACCATTGTATCTGTCAGGGATGAAGCCTTGCTTCTCTCTGTGATTATTTAATGGGTGCTTGTGTTACACATTCCAAGAGTTTCCAGGCTGCTTCTTGAAGGTGTTATGACATTTTTAAGTGAGGTGTCAGAGACAGAATCTGTGCTCTCTGTGTCTTTTTCGTCACCCTCATGGCCCAGCAGTGTAGATAAAGCCAAGGTATCTCCAGATGCTTCTTTCAGAGGTCCTGGAGGCATCTGAGAAATATCACTTCTAGGGGACCTTATGCAAGGGAAAAATGGGATCATTTTGGATTACATCAAATCCCTGAGAGCCACACAAAACAAAAAGAAAGGTACAAAGAAGGACAGAGAAAGCGACTAAGAAACACATTTCCAAAAGTTATGGATGTGCAACATAGTGATTTGACTGCTGTCTCTTCAGGAGCAGCTGCTGAATGTGCACAGATCAGTGCCCAGTGGAATACACTTCCAAACTGAAGTGGTTTTGACTCCTGTTGACTTGTTGGGTGGGTTTGGAGAGGTGCCAACATATGTAAAAAGACTCTGAAGGGGGAATGCTGCCTCTGTTACCGACACAGCTCCTGTTACTGCTGTTCTGCAGAATTAGTGCCTGCAGGAGGTGCTGTTGCACATCATCTCCTCATCCGACATTTCTGTGTTACTTCTGTCCTTACTGTTACTTTGTTTTGGTTTTTTTATAATTATTTTTTACTAGCAATCTTATTATAAATGTCTGCACTCCAGCTAAAAATCTATAGAACAATTCCAATCCATTCTCTATAAAGGAAGATATTTACCATTAGGACATCTGAATTTACCTTTAGGACATCTGAAGTTTGGTGAGATCACTCCTGCCATTTGTCTCCAGAAAATATAATTCAGTTTACAGGATTCTTTGGATTTTAGGAACTTTAGGTTACATGGCCTGTACCAAGGAGCTTTGATCACATGCACACCTGCCAGTCATAGTGTGGTATTTACACCAAGAGACTGGACTCTGCACTGATGCCCCTGTAGATTTAATTAGGTGTCAAGTCAAAAACAATGAGGGCAGATTTGTTCATACAGATGTTAATCTCAAAAATTCTCCCTGTTTACTCAAGATAACACGATTAAAGTCTTGAGCTTGATTAAGTACATTTTGTGTACAATTTTAAGTTCATGACTGTGCACGCATTTATTATTGATTCAAATGGTCTCTTCTTGTGATGACCAGTGACAGAACCCAAGGGAATGGCCTGAAGTTGTGTCAGGGAAGTTTAGGTTGGATATTAGGAAAAGGTTCTTCCCCCAGAGGGTGGCTGAGCACCAAACAGGCTCCCCAGGGCAGTGGTCATAGCACCAAGGCTTCCAGAGCTCAAGGAGTGTTTGGATAACACTCTCAGGAACAGAGTGGGATTGTTGGGTTGTCCTCTGCAGGACCAGGAGTTGGACTGATGATCCTTTGTTGGTCCCTTCCAACTCAGGTTATTCTATGACTTGGGTCAAAACTTTACCTATTGACTGTAATGCAGCACATGCCTTGCAAATTCACCACTATAGAACATCTAAATACTGGTTTCCTCCTTCTGGTGGACCTACTTTGGCAGTGAAACTGCTGCTAGCAGCTTTTGTAGCTACTCTAGAGGAGTCTGAATTTCTTTAATAAATGCTCTACAGTATCATCAAAGCATATCTTGTTCTCCTCTGCATTGACTATCTTCTGGCTGGAATTTGGATTGGTGCACATGAAAGAGGCTAAGAGGGATGATGTTACTGTGTCACTGAGGAGCAGTTTGAGGTTAACTCAGCCCCCAACCACCAGTGTTACCTAACCCAGCTCTTCTTTGGAACACGCTAAACCATCTGTCCTTTGGCAGGTTGCTAGGGCTCAGCCTCTTTTTATTACTGATCTTCCATCCATGCCTGCATACAATGACTTCCAGGTGCCTGGAGGATCATTGCCACGAATGGAGTTTCCTCTGGAGGCAAGGGATGGAACAGCAGACAGGTGTAGTAGCATGCTAAATAGGGGTAACACTACTGAAACACATCCCTAATATTTGCCTTTTTTTTTTTTTCCAAGAGAAAACTACTAGGAGCAGAGTTTGAGATTCTCCTTTTTGCTCCTAATTGCCTCATCTTCTGTGCTAGATACAAACTCCTAAGATGGAGATAAAATCCTCCTTCCTCTCTCATAAGTGATCTTGGCAAAATTGCCCAAACATCTTGATTTGAAAACAGTGAAAGACGTTTCTCCACCTGACACTCTGCAACCTCTTTGTGAGGACACTTCCCTTAATAGTGGATCCCTCCTGCATCAGGCAGAGCAGCTCTTCAGCACTTTTATTACACAAAATTCTGACCCCATCACAGTGTTTCTCCTCTTCCAAAGAGGACTGGGCAACCTGGACCTGAAAAGGGTGAGGGAATGTGACATTATTGGTGAACTCTAGTTTGGAGTGAAAGCTTGCCCTGCAGATAGAGAGAAATGTAGCTGGATCATTTCCTGAACTTTGATGAAACAAGAAAAAAGAAGCATGTTATTTAGGGAAAAAGAAACTCTCCATGAAAAGAGTTTCCCTCTGCACAAAAAAAAACCCCAAGAAAGTAGATGATCGAGAGAATTACTTACCAACTTAGCACTTGGTACTACTGTGATCCTGGTGTAAAACACTTCTACCAGAAAAAGGCACTGGAGAAAAACACTGAGATTGTGAAGAGCAAAATATGCCCCTCCTGATGTATGAAGCTGTCTCTTTTCTGCTCCTATGAATGGGAGCTTCAGATGGAAAGGGAAAGATTGTCCACTCTAAGAGTTACAAACCAAAATCTTGCTAAGGTGTCCCTTACCCCTGTGAGATTTGGGCAACCAAAGATGCTCCAACCCTCCTCTGCTTCTTCCTTCCCCATGTCCAGCCACAGGTATTTTAATGGCACCAATGAGCCTTGTGGCCAGGTGGAATTTATATTAAACAGTGTTAAGGATGCTCAGTGTTAGAGCCAAGCCCTTGACATTACTTGAACATAGGACCTTGGAGACAGTAAAACTTACTGCTGCACTTTTGTTTCCTTGAGGAATTAGGTTGAGTAACAGTAACAGTTGGCAGGCAAGTTAACCACAAACACTTGGCAAGAGGTGAAGAAACTGCAGCTTTTGCAATTTTATTCCCTCTTATTTTCACCTCCACGTCCAGAAGTTCATAGACACATCAGAAATTCAATTATCATTTTTTTCCTACTGCAGAAACAGTTCACTTTTAAAAATATGTAAAGAATAAACAACTATGTCATGGTATGCTTTTAAGGGAAATAATTTGTAGGCATGTTTTCACATGCATGTATATATCTCTGTGTGCACACTTCTGCACACTCCTGGATACCTGTATAGTTGGACAGGGCTCTGAGCAGCCTGTTTTAGTTGAAGATGTCCCTTCTCATTGCAGAAGGGTTGGGCTAGATGACCTTTGAAAGGTCCCTTCCAATTCCAACTGTTCTATGATTCTACTTTAGAATTTAATATCAAAGAATTGAAAAAATTACATCACTAGTAACTAAACTGATGAATCAGTCAGCAATTAAAATATTTCAGTTTAATTTTGATACTAAATGTTCTGCAAGATATGGTGTAATTTCCAGAGGTCTTGGTCAATTAGAAACACCAGTCATTCAAATCAGCAAATATATCATTACAAATTATTAAGTACATTATATGTCATATTAAAATACTGAGTGAACAATATTTGTTGACTGAAGTGAGGTGTAAAGTAAAATATGATCTAAAAAACTGTTTCATATCTTAGAATCATGGAATGGCCTGGGACCTCAAAACTCATGTTGTTCCAACCCCCTGCCATGGGCAGGGACATCTTCCACTATCCCAGGTTGCTCCAAGCCCCGTCGAACCTGCCCTTGGACACTTCCAGGGATCCAGGGGCAGCCACAGCTTCTCAGGGAAACCTGTGCCAGGCCCTCACCACCCTCATAGAGAAAAATTTGTTCCTAATATCTAACTTGGTGAAACCCCACCTGCAGAGCTGCCTCCAGCTCTGGGGTCCCCAGCACAAGAAGGACATGGAGCTGTTGGAGCGAGTTGGAGCGAGTCCAGAGGAGGCCACCAAGGTAATCAGAGGGATGGAGCAGATCTGCTGTGAGGAAAGGTTGAGGGAATTGGGATTGTCCAGCAGGAGAAGAGGAGGTTTTGGTGTGACCTTGTGGGGAATTTTGGCTGGACCGAGCCCCTGAGGCGGAGTGAGAGGGTGGCTGAGAATGAAGGCCCTGGTCCTGACAACGTACTGATGCATCCTGAGAGAGCAGAGGAGCAGCAGAAGAAGAGCTGTCCCGTGGGAACGGGGAACACTGTCTCATGAGAACGCGGACTTGTTTTGAACAGAGTGACTGAGAAAAATATAAACATCAAAGGAATACAGGGACAGGTACACAGAAATGTTGTGAGAAAGTAGGACTGAGAAAGTCCAGCTAAAATCTACCTATTAGCTGTGAGAATTGTAGTTTGTGTATTTAAGCTGACCTATCTGTGTGATATACGTGTACCAAAAGAGCTGTATTTAAGAGGCTGTAAATTGCAGCTCGTGGCTGCTGCTGCTTCCTTATTCTTTCCAATAAACTTTCTTGCTGAATATTACATGTCGTAGTCCGTCCCAACAACGACATGACCTAAT